GAATAAACAACTATCTGACTTTTAGAAGACATCTGAAGGCAGCCCTGTTTAGGGAAGATTTTAATGTCTAATGTTTTGCAATTTTTTATGTGCTGTAAGCCTCCCAGAGCCAGATGGGTGGAGTATAAAAAATAAAAAATAAAAAATAAAAAATAAAAAATAAAAAATAAAAAATAAAAAATAATAGTATTACTATTACATCTGATGTATTGCAGATGCAGGTCTGGTTGTGCAGCCATGGACATCCCATGCCTTGATCAGCCACATTTTCCTCGTAGGACTGCTCTGCTCCCCCAGCTTGCCATTTACACCCCAGCCTAAGGATTTTATGCCACATTACTCATGCTCAGAGCACACCAGCTGAAATGAATGTACCTGATTAACTGGAAGGTTAAAAAATAATAATGAAAATTTCTACGGTCCGTTGCAAATATTCTACACTGCAGTAGGAGGAAGGCCAGGTTCTGGGTAGTCCTCTTCCATCAATGCCCCGCTGCTTAAGTGCCGACAACTCAGATGCTGCTGAGACTGGCACAGAGGCAACAACAGTAAAGGATTACTTCAATGGGATGCTTCCACAGATGATCCTTTGGGACTTTCCAGAAAAGGCAGCGTCCCCGCTGGCAAACGGGCTGCTTGGAGCTCCCTCTGGCCAGGAATGCAGCTTCGGCTATTTGTTGCGATCTTATCTCATCCTCGCTGGTTACCTTCGCTTTCTTTTTTGCTTTTAGTAGTGGGAGGATCAGGAGGGAGAGAGGGTATAAAAGGGAGACAGAGGGAGGGAGCAGGACGGAGAAAAGCGCGAGAAACCTCGAAGCAAAACCTCCGAGAAGACGACTGAGCTTGGCTGCAAAAAATCAATCCGGCAGGAGGTAAGGAGTTGAACTTTTCTCCTGGTTCTAGAATGATTTCCGTTTCTTTTTCAGCTTGTTTGCGTTGAAGGAGATTCTGAGCTTCTTGCTTGGTGGGGGCGGCAGAAACAATTGTTGTTGCTGGTTGTTGTTTTTTTACCTTTTACTTCTTTTTTTTAGCTTTTTTCCTTTTTATTGTTATTATATTAATTATATTATAGCTATTGTGATATTATATTATATTATCATATCGTATTATATCCAGAGGTTTTTTCCTAAAAAATGTTTAGGGGTACTCTCATTTGACCATTCAAAACCAATATATTATAGTTAAAATCGGGAAAAATAAATACAGTAAATGGTCAGAAGTGCAAAGAACATGCATTAACTCATATTACACAGCTCACAGTAACTTCCACATTGGCAGGAGGTTGTGTGCACTAACATCTTCCTGATGCCCTTTTCCCCTGCAGCAAAGGGAATAAATAACATGCCACAAGTAGCTAGTGCTACTTTTAGAGTTTTAAGTAACTGCCCTGAAGCCAATGCAACCCGTCTCCCTTTCGCGTGTTAATTCAATATATCCCTCTGCAAAGCCCCCCCCCCATGGGTATTATTCCTGAAAGAAAGCAGCAGGACCACAGCTGTGCCCCAGCACTTGCTGACGTGCAAAAATGGTACAGTGGTGCCCCGCAAGACGAATGCCTCGCAAGACAAAAAACTCGCTAGACGAAAGGTTTTTCCGTTCGCGATTTGCCTCGCAAGACGAATTTCCCCTATGGGCTTGCTTCGCAAGACGAAAACGTCTCGCGACTTTTTTTCTTTGACTAAAAACAAATACATGTTTTGTTTATAAAGTTAATTTATTTTCCCTTAAATTTTTGAACTGCTCTTTACAGTATGTGTGACTTTAAAGAGCAGTTAATAAACTGTTGTTGTACCAAATTTGGCTTTGTTTGGACTTTTTTTGACCATAGGAACGCATTAATTGATTTTCAATGCATTCCTGTGGGATTTCGTGCTTCGCAAGACGAAAAATTCGTTAGACAACAAAAATTGCGGAACGAATTAATTTCGTCTTGCGGGGCACCACTGTATCTGTGAGCTACTTCTGATTAGAGAAACTGCATGGCAAGGGTTCGAGGCAGGGCAGAAGATGCTGGAGCTTCCCTCGGTTCTGGGTTGGTGCTGCCTGATGAGCCTGGATAGCTCAGTGGGTTAGACCATGGTGCTGATAACGCCAAGGTTGCAGGTTCGATCCCTGTATGGACCAGCTTCATATTCCTGCATTGCAGGGGGTTGGACTAGATGATCCTCAGGGTCCCTTCCAACTCTACAATGCTATGTTTCTATGACTTTCCCGAGTCGCCCTCTCGGGTCTTTCTGGGTCCTTCCATGACTGTGGTACCAAAGATGAAACTTCCCTTCTCCATGCACCTTAGTCCTGCTGCAAAATCACCTCCCCATATCAATACAAACAAACAAACAAAACCCCACTGATAACACCCCACACAATATATCATGCAGTTATTTCCTCGGATGTCTTTAGTTCTAAAAAGGATTTTATGCTCTTTTTTCCTTTAGCTGTATTTCATGTATCTATTCATTATATTTATATAGCTTTCAGGACAAGATAATGTTGCTGATAATGGGTTGTCTTCAACTAACATTTACTCAGCGTAAACCTACTGAAATTAATGAACCTTATGCATGGTTATTAATTTCAGTGAGTCTATGCTGAGTAAAACTTAGTTGACAAGAACCCGATGTGGATATTTTCCCCAGTACCGCACTTTAAGAATATTTCTGGGCTCTTTCTGTGTCACTTATTTCGACCCCCTGACTCCTTTTTTAACCCCCCCCCCAGTGACGTTTCTAAAATTATTCTTTTTATTGGTGACTTATGTAAAAGTGTCAGGGCCAGACTTGGCTAGAATATACTAGGGATATGCACAGTGCATTGGCTTATTTATTTATGAAGTGTCTTATCCAAAGTTTAAGCCAAAAAAGGAATCTTCCGTGGAGTGTGAATGCTTCCTTTAGACACATCTCTTGTGGAATGAACAATTTGAGTTCAAAAAAGATCCACACCTCACACAAATATGTTTTAAGGGTTTTAAGGGTTAGGTGTGAATGCATGCACATATAGATTTCTGAGAGATCGACAACAGGCACAATTCTTCCCTTTTTTTGAAATGCTACCAACTGCTGCTCATACAACCAGGAGGGAGAGGGCATAAAAGAAAGGAAGGAAGAGAGTTGAAAGGTGAAAAGTGTTAAGAGACCTGGAAGGAGAGGGGAGGGGGAGGGAAAGTTTCAAACTCTTCAGCAATCTTACATTGTCTTCGCTCGCACCTTCGCTTTCGTACTGTATTTGCTTTTAGTAGTGTGATGAACATCAGGTAGAGGGAATAAAAGAGAGAAAGGAAAAGAGTTTGAAGGAGAAAAGTGTTAAGAAACTTGGAAGCGAAACCTCCGAGGAGTGGACTGAGCTTTGATTCAAGAAATCGGACAGGCAGCAGGTGAGGAGCCGAATTTTCTCCTGGAACTATGATGATTTCCATTTCTTTTTGAGCTTGATTGCATTAAAGGAGACTCTGCGCTCCTTGCTGGGGGGGGGGGATGGCAGAATTCTTTATTATTACTATTTTTAGTGTTGGAGAAGGCTGCCCTTCTACAAAGGGAATAAATAACATGCCATCACTGCTGAGCTAGTGCTACTATAAGAGCTTTAAGTAACTGCTCTGACGCCAACACGGGTCTCCCTCTCAAACGATGCTGCGTGTTAATTTGACACATCCCTCTGCAGCTGCTATGAGGCTGCCCTCCTCCTCTTCCTCCTCTTGGCACCTGTCTCTTTTCCTTTCCTTGGCACAATGGAGAGAGAAGCTCTTTGGAAGCTGTCACACCACATAGCTGTTGTGCCATCCTTCATCTTTCTCTGTTCCTCTTCCCTATTTACTAAAAAGATTTGCAAATCTCCTCTGGGACCAGCAGAGTTTCCTTTTCCCTGGACTTAACTCTGTCATATATATTTTGACATTTTCATATTTTCATTTTGATATTTTCCCTGGACTTAACTCTGTCATTCATATATATATATATATATATATATATTTCTAGGATTCTAGAATGCAACAACTGATTGGCTTGCAGGAAAAGACCAATCAGGCTCCAGGAGGTAAGCAGAATCAGCCAATCAGATGGGACTCATTGTGTAAATGTATATAAGAAGCATGAGATTTGGGGGGCAATTCAATCACTGTTTTACAAGCTGCAATAAAGAGCATGAAATCACTACAGGACTCTGAGTATATTTCAGGTTGTGCCCCCTAAAAACTTGTGCCCGAGACAACCACCCCGCTGACCACGTTACATCACTGAGTGGATCTACCCTATGCTTCCTGTTATGGGATGCATCTCAGCCTAACTGAGAAAGACAAAATTGGTTCAACAGCCTTCTGAGGTCAGCCCATCTCAATGTTTTTCACTGTGGTTGCCATGAGACTTGGACAATTGCTTTGTTTTTCAGTAAAACTCTGAACTAGTTCTTCTGCCCCAAAGTCCGGAGAGGACAGGAGAGAGTGTGAGCAGCTGAAGTGAGAAGATAAACTATCCTATCCTCCTGTCCTCAAACAACTGTTTGTCAAGGATCTTGAGGAGCAAGTAAGTCTTATCAGAGGTCCTTCAAAGTCTTTCCCTCCCAGCCTGCTTTCCCCTTGCTCAGCTGGCAGCCTTGTGATTCCAATGTTTGATCTTCTTCTGCTCTTGAGCTTTCCCCTAAGGTTTATAGCAGCATTGGGAAGCAAATGGCATGCTTCTGAAGCAGAGTTAGAAAACCTCCCTCTGCCTGCCAAGCAGTGGCAAGAGCCCATGGGGTCTGTGGTCCTTTGCAGAATTGAGACACAGCAGACTTTAAGAAATTCACCTATTTACCCTATTTTCAGTCTGCACGGAGGGAGTCCAGATCTTACAGCATACTCTTTTCAAGAGGGATGTGTCCTCCCCACAGTAGTGCAGCCCTAGGGCATTTCTCCCAGTCAGCCTGCAGCCAGCCTGCCCAAGATGGATCCCAGTCTTTCTTCCTCCTTCTTCCTCCCAGCAACACTTGCTCAAAACTCTTCATTTCCTGCCGCCTCAAACAAACACCCCATCACCTGTGTAGGGAGAGACTTCAAGAGTGCCAACACTTACCTTGGAATCTTCCAGTGGAAAGCCACTGGAAACTGTGGTGTCTCTTTGATATATGGTGCTGTGTTTGCACACCCACCCACCCACCACCTCAGCACAAGATGGAAGGGCTCACAACATTAACGCTCCAACAGATGTTAATTCCCCAATACCCACAATATCAAAATTCAAACATTTTTGCTGAGCATAAAATATTTATATTTAAGCTAAGTGTAAATCATCACTGAGTTTCCCAGCTAGATGGGTTAATAGTATTGACAAAGCCTTTCTGAGCTCTCCCTTTTTCTTCTAGGATGAATTCATATGCAGAAAAACTTTCATTGTTCTCTGAGAGTATCCAGGCTATATTGAAAAATACAGATGTGAATATAGACCCCGATATATTTTTCAATATAACAATCAAGATATATGAGAAGTTTATGGAGGCTTTCAGTGATGGTGGAATGAAGGAAGCAGTTTTGGAGGTAAAAGAGGAGCTGGAGGAGTTGGAAAACACTGAGCTTCACATTGCCATCACTGGAGAGACGGGCTCTGGGAAATCATCCCTCATCAATGCTCTCCGAGGCCTGAAGGGAGAAGATGATGGTGCCGCCCCTGTAGGAGTGACAGAAACGACACTGAATCCAAATGTTTATGTGCACCCCAACTATCCCAAAGTGAAATTCTGGGACCTGCCAGGAATTGGATCCCCAGATTTTTCACCAGACAGTTACCTTAAGAAGGTGGATTTCCAACGCTATGACTTCTTTATCATTGTTGGCTCAGAGAGATTCCAATGCAACCACATTAACCTAGCTCAGGCGATCCAGAAGATGGAGAAGAAGTGTTATTTTGTGCGCTCCAAAGTAGATTCAGATCTATCCAACATGGAAAGGTCTTATCCAAATACCTTCAATGCAGAGGAAGTCCTTGAAAAGATGAGGAATGAATTCAAGAAGCAGCTTAAGAAGTGCTTCAGGAACACCATCCCTCAAGTCTTTTTGATCTCCTCCTGGGACCTTGACAAGTATGACTTCCCCCGACTGGTGGAGACCTTGGAGAAAGATCTGCCCAGCCTGAAGAGACTTGCATTCCTGCTCAGCATTCCCATGTTTTCCCCTGAATTCAAAGAAAAGAAGAAATCTGTGCTGAAGAGCCAGCTGTGGAAAATATCCCTGGTGTCTGCTGGCATCAATGCTATTCCCCTTCCAGGCCTTCCTCTGGTTTGTGATGAGTCCTTATTGCTTAAGTCCGTGGTTGACTTTTACAAGATGTTTGAGCTGGATGATGACTCCTTAGCTAGGCGGGCCAGATTGGCCAGGAAGCCTGTTGAGGAACTGAAGGCCGTGATGAAGTCTCCTCAGGAGAAAGAAATTAACGGGGATCATGTTAAAAATAAAATAACCGATTATGCAAAAGAATTATTCCGGCCTTCCCTAGTTAGAAGCTTGGTAGCAGCAGGGGTGTCTTTTGCCACCACTTATTGGATGCTGTCAAACTTCCTGGAAAATCTAGCTGAGGATGCTGAAAGGGTTCGAAAGAAAGCCATAGGACTGGAAGAGTGTTAAGCAGAGCATCTCAGGGCCAAGTAGAACTGGCATAAGACATGATGCAACCCAAGGTGGGGTAATAGGAGCTGCTGCTGCTGCTATGGCAAGTCTTCCCACTTTAGCACTGCTTTTCATACCCATTTTGGCTTGTTCTAGAGACAATGGAGCAGGCCTTACAGTTGATTTGCCTTACCGCAAAACATGTTGTGTCCACAGTGAATGCTATTTTTAACTGATACTTTTAAAATATGCTCAGATGTAATGTAGACACATTTGTCATATTCATGTAACATGCTACTGAAACCTTTCCGTGTAACTTCTCCCCATATAGGCCTTTAATAAATAATTGTTTGATTTAGGTGTAGTTTTATTAGATATTGCTCAAATTATTTTGTTAGATGATAGTAGGCAATAATAAAAGTTAGTGTAGAAGTTGGAGTGTAGGTATTTTGGACATATAGTTTCTTCCTTAACAATAGTTTTCTCAGCCTTAACAATATTTTAGATTGGTAATGGTAGCATATTATGATGTTTTTATGTTATTAACCTCATTTATCTTATTTTCTGTAGCACTCAATTAAGTTCCACCAAGTAAAGGAAATGCATTTGCTATTTGCCTGAAGACTCATCCTTGAACACTGAATTTTCTGTGTTGATATGAAAGGGGGGTTAATTTCGTTGTAATGGGAACTGAGATGAGAAACCTGATTTCTGCTTCGTAGAAATAGAGCTTACATTTCCCCCCTGAACAAAGAAAAACTGTCACACTGCCTGTTCTCCTCTCCCCCTTTTACTTTCAAAATGCTTTGCTGACACTAATGCAGAAGCCCCTCCTTTCTCCCTTGTTTTGAGGAAGAGGGTCATCTCTCAAAGGGAGACATTTTGGGTTAGGTGGCTGGGGAGAGTTGCCTGTACCAACATGTTTCCACAGGGGCTAGAATTGTTTTTAAAACATAGTTAAAAGTTCAAGATTCATAAAGTTCAGGACTTGCAGCCATTTTGAACTTTTTCTTATGGCATTCTCTAAAACACGAGTCTGCTTCCTCAGGCTCGGTTCCATATGAGGATAGCAGGGCCTACAGACTGTTTGGGCTACAAGGGATTTTTCTTCCTCCTTCTTCCTCCTAGCAAATCTTGCTCAAAACTCGTCATTTCCTGCCACCTCAAAGAAACACCCCATCACCCATGTGGGGAGACACTTCAGGGGTGCCAACACTTGCCTTGGAATCTTTTTGCTTGGAAAGGTCGTCACTGGAAACAGTGGTGTCTTTTTGATATATGGTGCTGTGTTTGTGCTTGTGTTTGCACAAACACCCACCACATCAACACAAGATGGAAGGGCTCACAGCATTAACACTCCAACACATGTTAATTCCCCATAAGGCTTCCCTGCTCCAGATGAGACTAGACAATTGCTAGCCCTAGCTCCTGGTGACGTGGCATCCAGCCAGTTGATGGGGGGGGGGCTATCCTCTCCTTCTTGAAGCATCACTAGCTAGTCATTTCTATGGAAACACATCTGTATTTCACCAACACTTTAGACATGTAAATGGAGGCCTAATAGATCCACAAACTTGGCCAGACCAGTTTGACCACTACAACAGTTCCTTCTACTACAAAATTCAGCCTTACAGTTATGAAACCACAGGCTTAGAGGGGACACAAATATATCATTTAAGCTAGTTCCCAGTCCTAGAATCATAGGAGCCAACTCCTATGGGCAGAGGGGGCTTCACCCTCCCCAATATAGCAATCAAGATATATGAGAGGTTTATGGAGACTTTCAGTGATGGTGGATTGAGCATTTTTATTGAGCATTCATATCTGAGCTCATATTGGGGTGATTATATGTGATCCCACTTTCAATACCATTTGCATCTGCAAATGTTTTGGGATGGTCATCCTGCTTCATTTGCAATAGGCACAGACTCCATAGTTTCCTGCTAAAGCCCTGCAACTTTTAATAACACAAATGTTGATGGGTGTGTGTGTTGCTCACTTTTGTCACACTACAGAGCAAGAGTGACCTTCCAGATGGCAATAATAACCGAGTGACATTGGGGAAGTGTTGCAAAACTATTAATAGAGTGGAATCGTATCTGGATGGCTCACCAAAAACCCCCCACTCATGCATTATTACTGTGTCGATGACATGTTGTCTCAAGGCAAGTCTAAAAAAATGTAGTATAAACACTGACTACTGGGAAACAGTGGCCTGTGAGCGCTCCAGTTGAAGAACAGCCTTTACCAAAGGTGCCATGGGCTTTGGAGACACTCAAAACTCATGACGCAAGGGAGTGCTAAAAGGAAGGCACGCTTGGCAAATCCAAAGCCAAAGAAGGAGGGGGGTCTAGATAATTCACAATATTTCTCATTTAGGAGACTTTCATGGAAAACTGAAAGCTGATTAGTTAGGGTGGCCATATTTCAAAAGGGAGAAAATCCAAACACAAAAGTGTATGGTTTTTTCTCCCCCAAAAGCTACACTACCAACATGGGCTGCCGTACATCCGGATTTTCCTGGACATTTCTAAAATAATTAGAGTGACCATGTGAAAGCAGCATTGATTATAACACAAACAGTGGCAGTGGCAAGGAGATTAATTTAACCAATTATTTTATTTCATGAAAACTTATACCCCGCTTGAGTCTAATAAAACCTCAAAGCGGTTTGCAAAGAGATAAACCAATAAAACCAGGAAACAATTACAGTCGTGCTTTAAGATATGCAAGAGTTAAAACACTAGAACAGATTAAAATTACCTCAACTTTCTATTTCACAAATGTGGAGGCTCCTGTCTAGCTGAATGCCCTCCTTCAGTTTGAGTGTGTATGAGGGAAAGAACATTCTGAAATTTTATGGCAGAACCCATAAAATGGCAGAGAACATTCCCAGGGACTGCATTGCTGCTTTAAGGGCCGTGCTTGTCTTTCCAACTCACTGGG